AATTTCAAAACAAACAATAATTTACGGTACGAAATCTTTATTTTTAGGGGGCGGAGATCATGAAGTTTCTAGATGTTAGATTTCACGATGTATAAATATTTAATTTTTGCAGAATCGAAGATGCGGAAATTATAAATCTATTTAACTAACCAATTTTCTGCTATCTTTACTTCATGGAACATATTCTTGAAAATAAGTGATTTCCAATTTGGAATGATCAATAATGCTAACATGAAGCAGAGTTGACATTAATTGCTTTCAGCTCAAGTAAGGAATATATTTCTTGACATTATTAAACAAATTAACAGATACGCCCGGTTCAGTTAATAAGTCTATATGAACTAAATATAAATAATCCGCTTACCTGCTATTACGTTTTTGCAACAAATATGAAAGGTTTTTTAACTTACTACAATTTCTACACGTACTACAATTTCATACTTTAAATACCAATTTGAACACGTATATCGGCCTTCTATGTTCGGAGTAATAAAACTCAAATTTAACATGACGCTAATAAGAAGGACAAAGATATATAAATCATTCACTCATAACAGAAGAGTATCAAGCTAATTCATTCGCTAAAACTAGTAAAACGGTAAAGATAAAAAGTCACGATATTTGGGGCTATCTCTGGTACACTGGGAGATTAACAATCACAGACATGTTCACAGCTAAGTATCATGTGTAAAATTTTAAAGAAGTCACAGAAGTCAAATACCATTTTTGACCCGTGTTCGACTTGTTTTTTATTTTATTTTTATTGTTGTTGTTTGTTTGTTTTTTTATAATAGAAAATCTAATTTCAACGATTGTAGTTTCAAAACTCGTATCTCAGTGTCAAATTAAAGGTGTCTGGAAGAATGCAGTTAAATCAAATACGCTAGAATTTAGTTTAAAGTTATAGTTGAATTTAAAGTTTATTAACTCGTGTATAAGTTTATGAAGCGACTAACTGTTAGCTGTATAGTTGATGTGTAATGCGATTTAGCTGTCGATGAACACGGTTGATCAAAACTCGGTTGTGTCAGACATAGAGGATTTATATTTTTCAGAATATCAAAGCTATTAAAGTTGTTTTCAAGGTAGTGATAAAGTTTTAATATATATGTCTAGAGCATAGTTAATTAATCATTTTAGGGAAGTGATGCATGATGAAATTTTTTAATATATCAATGATTAACTGATTAAATATGATCAAAAACTAATTTTTTTGAAAATGGTAAGAAAGAGCTTTATTGTTTCTGTAGCATGAAATAAGACAAGAAAAAACAATTTGTTAACAGTCTCATCGTTCAAAGACGTGCGCAATTCTGAAACAAAGAGGCAAACTGCAATGAATTTATCTCTGTCTCTACAGAAGTTGGAAATATAGTACTCACAGCATTTAATTTCTTCTCCAATGAATGTGAACGTTCCTTTGTGCTTTCCAGGACTGCAGTTTCTCTCTTTATAAATATCTCAATATTTCTTGAGGTGAAGAATCCAGACCAAGTGTGTTTGTTTTTCCTAATTTCTTCTTTTCTGATATCATAGTATTCTCTTTCTCTGCCTTGCTCAATTTCCTTGGTGGTTCTGTTTCATCAACAGTTTGATACTTATTGTCCTCCTTGACCCCATTCTCATTGCCATGGTTTTGTAACAGGCAAATGTAAGTGTTTTTAGCTGTCTTGGCAATTTCATTCCTAGGTGGACGTGGAAGCAGAGAGTGTGAGCTGTACAAACTTGGTTTGCATCCTTCAGATAGCATAATAAGCCAGTAAGATTGGCGTTATTTCTTTCTTTAATCCTCTGATACAATTTGTGTCCTATCCTGCTCTCCTGTTCATTTAACTCTATCAGCAAAATCTCAAAGATTTTTTTTCAGCCATAACCAAGTTATAGTTTCTCTTGCCCAATGCCAAGTCACTCACTTCCACAATTCTAAAGCGAGCTTTTTCTCTTCTTCAGAGGTAAAAAGGTCAATAGCAGAAAGATATATTAGAGCATTTGCAACAATGCTTTTCAATTTCAAAAACATCTTTAACATCATGAGCGTAGAGTTTCATCTGGTAAGAGTGTCCATAAGCAAATATACTTATTTTCCCTTTTGAACCTTGCATAGTTTTTAAAGATCATCATTTTTGACAGGAAATTTGCGAAAAATCCAAACAATTCTTCATACTTTTACAATCACCACTCAAAAATCATCTGCAAACTCAGTGTTCTCATCTTAGACTTCTTCATTCCAAATTTCATTCTCTGTCTCCTCCTCTTCAACATCTTCTGACTCTTCTTCACTAGCAGCTTCCTCAATTTCTTCATCTTTCTCATCAACTCTACCAGAATTTTATGTCCAACTCAAACCTGTTCAGCATGTTAGTGACGACCTCACCTACCATGGTAGCTGTCATATTGTCATTAACTCTTATCATGCCAAGTCCATATACTTTTTTGCCTGTAGCATGAATGTTAAGGCACGTATACCTTCTATTTCGCTTAGAGGTCCATTAATTCAATGTCAAGGAGAATCTCTCGCCTGCTTCTCTCTTTTGCTTTAGTTCAACCTTCATTTCCTGTTGAAGCTCTTCTCCAAACGAAATTACCTTTGCTCTTATGCCTTTCTTTGTTACAGACATCTTCAGTCATTGGGCTTTCCACCCATTCTTTATTCTGTGCTGTTGGCCGAGGTGGCAAAGAGAATGTTGTATATTGCAGTCAAATTAACAAGGGCTAATTCTAATGATGTTTGACTGGCATTTTGAAAGTAGGACAGGACTGAAGGCTGGGTATCATCAGATGTTGAGGAAGAAGGTGCAGAAATGGTCGTAAGAACAATCTCCAAATTGTGCTTGTGCTCAAGACGATGCTTGAATGTCGACGGTGACAGATGAGCTTTGAAGATTGCTTCACAATATTTGCATTTCACCACAGCTGTAATTAGCCTGTTTATACATGCAAAAATGTGCCAAATTCAACTGCCGCATTATAAAATTTATGGTGATATAATACTAAAATTATGGAGAAAATTAATCCTTTTTCATCATTTCCTGAAACTATTTTCCGATTAATTAATGATTAAATTTGAAACATTGATTAACTGATTGACTAATTAATCAAAACCATGCACTAAGGATGTCAATACTTAGATCCAACGTACAATATTTTTTCAATTATTTGGAGAAAGTAAAACTTTTATTATTCAATATTCTGAAGGCAAGTAAGCAACATAGGTAACCTAGTAAAAGTTACATGTGAAACATAAGGCTTCATTAGTAGGTCGGAGACTACTGGCCAATGATAAATTATTTATTTCGGAATCGAAATTTACTATGGTAAAGTTATGTAGCGCTTATGTAGCTCAAAAACATGCGTGGTGACATAAGATACGAGAGGTTTGTACTACTATGACTTTATGCTGATAGGAACGAACTTATATGATCGGTTAGCAAGATGCAAATAACATGCGTAAGAGCTGATAGAGAATCGATTTTTATTGTTTGTCCTCAAAATGTATATTTATGGATTTATCTAAGTTCGCGCATCGATTTTATCTGTTCAAGTACTATATGTACAATGGACAATATGAGAACAATATTATACGCTTGTCCGGCTAAGATGCATACAATTTTATTGAATATAGTAGTAAAATATCGGAGTCACCCGTGAATTTAGCATTTTGCCTAAATTAAGTTATTCTTTTTCAAGATGGTATTTTGTATAGCTCAATAGGTAGAGTACGTTATATTGAAACTATTTTGAATATACAAATCAGCAGTTCATCTCATAACTACACCTGATAAAAAGTCATGGTGGAACGGAACGTATCAGAACTACAGTTTGACATTATTTAGCGTTTGGGTGTGATGACAACGAAAATCGATCGCTTTTGGGAAGGAGGTGTAACAGCTTTTTACGATGCAAGGTATCTATACACTCAGCTCATCAATATTACCCGGCATGGCTTGGTGGCTAGGGGACTCGACTCACAATTTGCGTGTCACGGTTTCAAATCTGATCACCGAACATTCTTGTAATTTCAGTAGTGGAGACAGTCAATCCCACTATTCAATTAGAGTAGCCCAAGCTACGTATGTTTTGCTACCTTCCTGTGAATTGGAATAATTTCACCTAACGATGTGCAGTAGAGCTTTAAAAAGCACATCGACTTACATATAATATAATAAGAACCACATTCCTGCAATTGATAACTAATTATTAGGAAGAATGTAACAGTGAATTAGTTTTTGTTTATATTTTTTAAAGCACAAAGTTGCACAATGGGTTATCTGTGCTATGTCCTTCGGGCGGATCGAACAATGAATATTAGCTATATAACCCAAGCATTCCGCCCCCCCCCAGTGGCACAGCGGTATGTCTGCGGACTTACAACGCTATAATCCAGGTTTCGATACCCGTGGTGCGCAGAGCCTAGATAGTCCATTGTGTAGTTTTTGTGCTTAATTGCAACAAACAAACAAACCAAGCATTCCGCTAAGCCACAGAAGCAATAAATGAGTTTTGAGTAATTTAATAAGACAAATTCATCACTTATGCATCATCTAGAGGAATGTGGTAATAAATATATGAATTATAATTCATTTCCACATTACAAACTATAAAAATTAATTATTTCTATTTAGTTTCAATATAGATTTATAATTATACATATATATATTAAAAATGAAAATAAACCATTAGTAACTCATAAAGACAAGTTGTTTTAGTTTTTACTGGAAATATTTTACCTGTATTGTGTACTAAAGTAGTTCTCTTTGTTTTCAGGTAAAATTGTCCCATTTGTTGAACTGACAGTGGCTCATGGCTCTATCTTTACCATCCTTGCCATCAGCTTTGAACGTTATTACGCCATATGCAAGCCCCTCCGAGCTGGGTACACGTGCACCAAAATGAGAGCTTTAGTGATCATTGTGAGCGTGTGGATGGTGGCACTGCTGATCACCAGCCCAATTCTAGCCATTGCTGAGTATAGTTATATGGATTATATCGACGATACTAAGGTTCCGGTGTGCTTGACGGTAGCGCAAACAGTTTGGAAAAAGGCTTACTTCATTTTTATCACCACTCTATTTTTCTGGCTACCACTGGTTGTGCTTTTGGTCGTCTATGGAGTCATAACAAAACAGCTGATAATGGACAGGCAGATGCTTCACTCAGGTAGTGATCACTATCAGATGCGTGCAAGGAAGCAAGTAGTTTGGATGTTGGTTGCTGTGGTAACATGTTTCTTTCTTTGCCTGATGCCCTTCAGGACCTTCACTATGTGGGTGATTGTCGTGCCAGCGGACAGAGTAAAGGCTTTAGGCATGGAGAAATATTATATTGTCCTGTATTTTTGTCGTGTAATGCTGTATTTAAACTCTGCTGTCAACCCTATTCTATATAACCTTATCTCTTCCAAGTTCAGGGACGCTTTCATCAATTTGCTGACATGTAAATACCAAAGACGTATCTTACGGCAAGCAACCTTCACGACTACAAGCACCTCTTTGAGTCAACATACCAGCTTGAAAGGACGTTCATCAAACGTTCACAGCTGTTACTTACCCAGATCGTGTGTTGTCAAGGCACATCCTTGTGTGGAAACATACGTCTAATATTAAATATTTCTTTTGAGCACGTGTTGGGCTGAAAGCTGTGAGAAACTACGTGGAGCGAGCAGACCGTGTTTAAACCATGTAGATCACACTACTGTCATCCTTAAATCGCATATAAGTTTAACAGGTCAAATTGTAGCCTGAGTAATTGTGTAAAACAACAGAAAAACACATAAATTTAGCCTGAAGAACCATAAGAAAGAAAAAATAAAGATTAGCAAAGTTGAATCTCACGGATAATGTAGAAGAGCGTTATATGCCCTAAAGGATCATGTTGAAGAATATGAAAATGTTGTGACTTTGTCTGAATGATTATGTGGGAGAAAAAATGGCATGGATATGTGAGAGAATTGAAGAGGAGCAAAATTGATGATGCAGGAGAATTCGTAGTTGGGACTGAAAATTCTATAAGAACACTATATGGCAAGAGAACTATAGTTTATAGCTTAAGAGAATAAAATGGAATACATTATTAAAGTTTAACTAAAATAATTGTTTGGAAGAAATCGACGAAGAAGTTATTTAATATTAAGTATTTTATATAACAACACAAACTGAAAATATTAGTGTGAATCATTATGTTGGAAAACACATCCAAAAAGAGTTGCTTAGTCTGAAAAACAATGTGTACAACAACATGAAAAACGCATAAATTTAGTCTGAAGAACCATACGAAAAGAGCAAAAAAGATGAGTAAAGTTTAACCTCACTGATAACAACAAAGAATTGTTCAGTCTAAAGGGCAATGTGGGAAAACACAACAAAAAACGTTGTTCAGTCTGAAGAGCAATATGGAAGAATATGAAAAAAGTGTTTTTTAGTTTGAAGACCAATATGGAGTAATAAGACAAAAAGCATTGTTTAGTTTGAAGAACAATATAGGAAAGTATAACAAAAAGCATTGTTAAAGCTTAAAAGCATTGTGGGAAAATAAAATAAAAATCGACTAAATAATTAAGAAGAAAACCATATACAAGTTAGATATTTAATTCAAGTAGATAAAACTAAGGCTTAATTTAGCCTTAAGAACTATGTAGAATAGCATAACAAGATTATGTGAAAAGAGGGTTGAATATGATTGAGATGGAGCACCCAACTTGAATATAGTTTACGTTCAAAGATAATGTAATTGAACCAGAATAGAGGAATTAAAGCAATGTTGGAGGACAAAATAAACGAATTAATAACACATTCTTAGATGCCCCATTACTGACTTAGAGTAAAAAGAGTGTTATAACAGCATTCAAATGCGCTTTTTCTGTTGTAGGTTGCTGCCAATGAGGCTGTCTCTCAATATAAGAACTTGTCCAACCAGATAGCTTATAACACAAAACATTTAGTTAAACTTCTATGTAAACATCGTTTCACAGACATCAAGCCAAAACCAAAGTTTGCGAATAACAAGAGTGATAGAGTATAGCCAGACTAATAAAAACATTTAACATTTTCATCTTAAGTCTTAGACTGGGGAAATTTGAAGAAATATGTAGCAACATTTAATCTTTCATATAACGGAGGCCAATAGAATTCTGAGTGAAGTGTTTAAATTTGTTATCAGAGTTACTATAATGTTTGATTACAGCTGTAATCCTAATTGAGATCGTGATTCACCAGCTTTGGCTTATATATCATACAAGTTATATGACATAAAACAAAGGTATAGCTTAGTCTAAAAGAACAGTGAGAGAACACAACGAAGGTATGATTTAGTTTCACAAAGTGTGTGGGCGAACAAATGAAAAGTAAATCAGGATTTGAGAAGAACAATGTTGTAGGAAAAGAACGCCTAGTTTAAAGTAAAGAATTATAAGAGGGGACACAAAGACGAACTTTATCCTAAAAATAAAGAATTATATTAGAAAACACGACAAAGGCTTAGTATCATCCTAAAGATCATTTTTAGAAACATGATGAAACAAAAATAGTCTAAAATATAATTTAGAAAAATACGAAATCGTATTTTAATATTAGATAGCCCTAACCAAACCAATGTTAATCGTGTGAGTTGTGTTATAACATAACCAGAGCAATATTGATCTCAAATTTATTTATAGAGGCAGAAACAAGCCAATATTAATTTTCAAGAGAATATATAAAAACACAACAGAGGGAATGCTCTACACATTAAAAATAAGACAAAATTCACTTTTAAATCTTATGTCATGGTTTATTTCTATCGAAAATAATATTTTACTAGGACGTAAGCGAGTTTGAAATCACCTCCAAATCTCTACACTTCACTCACTCACAGACTACAAAGCAAGCTTTTAGTTTAGTCCTAAGGCTTCAAATTAATTTTGAAATTGGAATAACAATCATTTTGCTTTATTATTGGTGCCATTTTTATCAATTTCTTTTTCATTTGAATTCGTTGTAGACAAAAGTAGAGTTGGTTGGTATTAAATTTACTCGAAACTATATCCAGTAGGAAAACAAAATTATATTAATTTTATTCGAGTACTTATTGTTATCTGTTTCAATCCTACAAACAACATCCTTACATTTATGTATTTCCTCGTACTTCGTATAAACGTTTACTTTAGTTTGGTTGTCTTAATTCTATCCACCTCTATATATATGCACTTCGTATAGACAGTTACCTTAGTTTGGATGTTTTACCTTTATCCACCTATGTGGTCTTTGTTTAGACGTTTTCTTTAGCTTGGCTGTCATATCTTTGTTCACGCCTATGTATTAGTATAGATGTTAGCCTTAGATCGAATGCCTTTGTATTATCTTTATCCATCTCCTCATACCTCGTATAGACATTTATCTTAGTTTATCTGCCTTTCTACGTACCTTGTATAGACGTTTACCTTAATTTGACTGAATTACGTTTATTCATCTCCTCCTAACCCGTACAGACATCATTCAGCTAAATGGTCCTCATTTGACCAATCAATCATATAAACCTAAACGGAGTCATAATAAACGTTGATTAGTCAAAAATGTTAGTTAAAAAGGTGATATAGTTAGCGGCACGTAGTTCTATAAATATTATTTCTCTTTCTGTATAATGTAGCAGGCGAATAAATGGAGGAACTGTTTTTAAGAATATCACTAGCACTAGTTCTAGTTAACAGGAAAAGACAAAGCTGGATGTGAGTCATATAATTCTATTGGCTTCTGTTTCCGGTTAAATTTATTTGAAGAAACAGACAGCAGCATCAACAAACGTAAAAAAGTAACTTCTTGGCTTCGATCACTTATACAGTAAAGATAAAATTATGTTGGCTTCTGTTTACCGCTATAGTTATGTGGAACGGTGTAGTTAAATCAAATTAACGAAAAATTCACTTAACTTTGTTATTATAATTGGGAATACGTAGCAGCATCAGAACCACTTTCTAATGAGTTTGTTTATGTTGTAGTGAAAACTATGAAAGGAAACACTTTTATCCGAATATTGTGCTGATTTTCATTCCACTGTTGTACAAGTTTTATCTGTGTATTTGAGCACCTCATTGAGTGATTTGTTTCAAATCCTGCTAAACCAGATATTGTTGTTTTTATTAAATTATTAAAACCTATTTGCATATACAGGACACCGTTTTCTACTTAATGTGAAAAAAAAACTAACTTCAAAACAATGAAATTATTTGCTTACATCTCTACTACTTTTTATCAGGTATGTCTTATTTGTTATTTAGATAAGATGTAGAAGGTATGTATGTTGATTATAAGAAAATCACCATTTGTCTTTCGTTTTTCCCCTTTTTACTAAGCTTTATCTTCGATAATGTTCATAAAAAGCGATATTCAAACAGAAGAAAAATTTGAAACTTAGATACCAGTAAGAGTATCTGTGTTGGATTATATAATTTTAAACAAAAATGTTTTTGATAGTATCACCTGTAGATTCCCTAAATAGCCGTAACATATATTGGGATCGTCTAAAAATAAATTGTTTCTTTCAGCTCCCAGATAACTTTAGCCTTTCTTTCGTGATTATGCTTGAATCAATACGTATTTATATGAATCATTGTTAAATTTTGAAGGTTAATTAACGAATAAAAATGTAGATGCAACAAATAAAAAAATTTACACTTATATATCTACTGCTGAGACCCAGAAAGGTATGATAATCATGTGAGTTATATTTATTTCATTCTATGAATTAAACATAGATATAGCATTAACAAAAACTATTTGTTAATGGATTGTCCTTTAAGAAGTACTGTAGGTTTTAAAAAGCTAGTTATATGAATGTTATTTCAGATTATTCAAAACCATTGTCACTTTTAAGGACATGTGTCGGGGTTAGGTCTCACGAGGATATGGTGTTCTATTTATGACCTAAAAATGGTAAACACGTGGAAATTTTTTATAAAGTGTTACAGAAAATATAAAAAGTTTTGTTCTGGAACTCAAATAAAGCACGTTGTTTAGTGTAAAACGTCGAACAATAAGCATTTTAGACCAAAGAATATGAAGAAATAACATGTTAAACTGCTCAGTTTTTCAAATATAATCCTCGGCTATCCTATTATTCGTTTTCAGGCATAAAACCCCAATGGGCTAGATAAACCATTTCCTTCAATACAGTTGTAAGCTTTATTGCCATATCCTCTAGAGTAAATCAGTGATTCTAATATGTATGGTAAGCCAATCTACTATTTTAATACTGAAAACGATAACAAAACGTAAAATTATATGACTATTAAACATAACGCTGTAAAAGTTCTATTGTATTTGGTATGAAAACAGGGTAGTTTATTCGTTGTATTATGTTTGTGCAATAAACTAAATGTTTGGTAAAATATGCATAATAAAGATTTTTTCGAAACTGGCATAATTACACTTTATCAACATTATTCAATAATGTCAGTAAGAAATATATGTTTACAGGCTTTTAATTAGATACATATATATATAACTTGGCCCTTTTCTATATCACATATTTATATGGCTGACCCCTCTACTCTAACTTGGCTATTTTTTACATGTAAAATGTTTTTAACAGACCATATATATATACACACACATACATAGGCATATATATATATATATACATGTATATAT